TACCTTTTCACCATCTTTCATGATGCTGTATGAATAGTTGCCGAAATCACCTTCGATTTTGTAGGTACCGAATGAACCAGTGGCTTGCATTAATGATCCAACAAATTTAAGTTTGTTTTCAATGGTACCGACTTCTTTGCCACTGTGTGAATCAGTGATGATCCATGTTGACATAATGTTGGTAAGATCATGACGAACCTAGACAATGGATGATCTTCTATCACATAAACGAAGAATAAAGTTCACGTACTGAATAACGTTCTTTGCCATCTTCTAATAAGTAGAGTTTCTTTCCAACACTTAAGAGTTCATCACGAACGGTGTATTTGATTGGAGCATTGGTTTTGCTTTCAACATCGTATGTACGAGCAGCACTGATGAAGCCTAGAATTGAAACTATATGATCAAGTCTTTTAGAAATAGACGGATTACATACTTTGTTTGATGCGATATTCAGAAACGTTCTTGTTGTCTGTACATTGCACGAAAGCCAAAAGCATACCAAAAGCGACCAAGGCGATGATTGTTGATTGCATGTTTGCAGTTTAAATTGTAAGTAAAGGAAGAATAATGTGCGTATGATAAAGTCAACACGAATTTCCATCTGTTTATATACTACCGATGAACAAAGCATCTGAAATCTAGACTGAAGAGAGATGTTATATTACATAACTTAACGACATCATCGTATTAGGAGATCATGTAAAACAAAGACAATTTGTATCTGAATGTCCTGTAGTCGGCGTTGAAATCACATGTGTATAGTCAGAAAGAAACAAGTTAGGGAGGGGCGGACGGACGGGAGTATAGAGTGAAACGTATCATTGCTTGTCACATGAAGAAGTAAACAAGAAATATTTGACCAAATTATAGATATTTTTTCTTAAACCTTGATTCACATGACAAATTAACAGTAAAACGAATGCAAAAATATCATGCCGATATCAAATCGCCGAATCAACTAAATTTTTTGAATAAAATCATGGCAACATATATCTATCATTGATCTCTGTTAATGAAAAACAAGCAGTAAACGTCCTCAGGCAAGTCATTATCATCTCCGCTTAATGTACATCATAGTCATAGTTTTAATAGCGAAACCTTGATACAATCACCCTTTGACAAGTTGAGAGGAAAAATATGATGAAGTGAAGGGAGTGTTGTCGATAGGCATGTATATCATCGTCGTTTATGAATAACTGATCGATGATAAATACTCATGTTAAAGTTAAATGAGAAAATCGTGAAGAATCTTTCAGTTGAATTTCAATTAAAAGCTATGCGTTGTGGGCGATAAATATCAAATATTCCTTGTAATCTGATCTGCAATTGCAGTTTCAATTAAGTTTGTATCTTTTTCTTCTTTCTAATTTGATTCGGATGAATATTTATATGTGTCAGACGAGAAAAAAAAATAAGACAACAATTAATGAAATTTGCGTGTATGCAAGCGAGAGGAACGAGAAAAGTTAAGTACAAACAACCGTAAAGATATAACGACTACAGAGTGTTCGCGAATTGAACATAATATAAGAGAAGAAGGAAGACTAGCCGTCCTCAGTGGATTGTTGTTCATTGACTATTTACGAGCTTTTTTGTGGTATGTATTGCCAGTCGTAGTTGGCATCGAGGAGAAATGTTCAGTCGAAGAACGTTGCCGACTAGGAACTGTTTGAAAGGTTGTTGCCGTTGGTGTGATGTATTGAATAGCAGAGACTGATGAATCACTCAATGTTTTGCCTCGTTGGGATGTTGGTTCTTGCAAATGTGTAACATAATCTGAGTTTAACATCGAAAGACTATTTAATTGTTCGAAATCAGTCGTTTTCTTTCCATTGGATTTCATACGAATAGTTCTAGGTACACCATCATCAATTTCAGTGTCTCTTAACTTCAATTCATCAGATGTCTATTAGAAAGAGAAATCTTCGATATATTTAATAAACATAAGTCAAAGAATTTACATCAAATAGTTGTGCTTCAGTCGATCGATTTGATTCATTGATTCTTTCTTGTAAAGCTTGTTGCTGTGTAATATAGTCTTTCATCGCTAGGTAAGCGAATAAATATTGATCTTCTGTTTGAACACTTCCAGCTCGTTCTGTTCGCATTTTCAATACTGTTGTGGGAATGTCGATAACTTTCTTTTCCAAATATCTTTTTATTCCAATATCAATTGCACAAAATGTACCCGTACGTCCGATTCCAGCTGAACAATGAAGAAGAATCGGAGCCTTTGTTGTGGTCAATTGTCGATAGTATTCAACTTTCTCCAAAAATAACAGCGCGTCTTTCGTATTTGACGGAATACCATGATCGGGCCATTTCAAATAATGCGCATGATATACAGTTCGACTTTCCGCTTGATTCTTTTTTCTTATCGATAATGTTGTAATGAGAAAACTATCGAATTTTTCCGATTTTTCATTTTGAATTTGATATAAACCAGCATTGAGAACTTCTTTGGTTTCCATGGGCCAATAGGGAAAACATTTCATCATTCCTGTCTCACGAATATTTGTTGTCATAACAATAATAGCAATGTTTTCTTGCCAAATCATCCGCCAAAAGTCTTTTACTGTTGTCTGAAGTGGTCCTAAACGGTCAAAAACAATTGTGTTAGAAGATTGTATCGATTCGATTTGAGTTATTTTTACCTTGAGTGAAAATATACGCTTTTTCCTGATTATTATGTCCACTGACATAATTAGCATTGATAAAATCGTGTTTTTCTTCGCCATCAGGTTGAAGTTTAACCCGAGTTGCTTCACCTGGTAGTACATCTCGATAACGAGATTTGTCAACATTTCGTTCATCTCTACAAAAGACAAAAGTGCCTTGGAGTCTGTCAAGAATCAGTTTCATTGAATTCTACTTTGCAGCATGTGTATCTTTTGCTGGTGGATTTGGTAATTTTCGATACTCATGTCGAATTTCTAGTGGTGTTTTAGCAAGAAATTCCGCTGCTGTCAACGGTCTGTTTAAGTTATTGATCGGACGTTTATGGTCACGTTTTGCAACAGTATGATCATGTGGTTCATTGCCATTCATTCTATTCTTTGCTTCATATTCACTTCGTTCTTGATGGGCAGTTGTTGAACGAAACGAAGTTTCATTTAATAATGATGTCGTTTGCGATTGACTAGAACGAAAAGAAGTAAACTTAGAAATGTAAACAAACGATTATATGTGTCTGTATATGAAATTTAAATACGAAAACTTCAGGGTTCTTTTTTTACCTTGAATTTAAACGCGCTCGATTCAATTTTGAATCAAGAGGATATTGTCCATAATGAGAATGATTATTACTATGATGTTGATGGTGATGATGGTAATATTCCGATACGTAAGGATCTTTATCATCATAGTATTGAACCGATGATGAATATCGATCATGAGGTAGAGAGGTATACGACACTGGCGATAGCAAGAGCGATGACGGATATTCATTATAGGAATAATAGTAGGGTTGAGGAGGATATTGATGAATAACTGAGTAAGGATATATAGGTGAAAGTGTTTGAGAAGGGTAATTGTTCATTGCTAAGAGAAAAAGAGTAAGTTAATCGATGATGAGTGAAAGAGAAAGGAAATAATAGTTGCTAACCGAGGAAAACGACGAGCAAAATGAGAGTAGATGTAAGCGTGAGGTAGTGGAGCATGGACAGAAACGAAAGAAAGAAAGGGAGAAGACGCCTCTCACTTTCTCTCTCGTCTACCTATTCACTAATATATGTATAGATGCGATTGTATACATGTTGATGACGCTCATCAGGGATGGATAAATAATGGAGATAGACTTGTCGGCTCAATGATATGAAAACAAAGCGTCAAACATAAATATAACTCTATACGTACAAAAATCGTTCACTCGAACTTATCTGCGTGATTTATTGACTGTATCTAACCTCGAAGTCAACACTTTCTATCAAGATATGTCGTTATTCATACCAGATCATTTGTCAGTGAGTTTCGCTATGCGATTGCCAAGTGAATAACAGAATGTGCTAGTTGACGATCGACAGCGAAAATAAGTTATATTTGTGTTTCTATTACTCAATGTTGTGTCATTATTAATATTTTTTTTGTCATTTCTTTCGATTTTCTTTCTACATATATTTACACATGATTCAGACATGTAGGTAGAAAAAGTGATTATTATTTTTTGATTGACGAAATGAAAAACAAGACAGAAGAAACTTTCATATTTACTCGAGAGAAATATCTTGAGGAATTGGTAATTGCGAAGCGATGACTGGGGGTTCTTCTTCCAAGAGACTTTCATTGGATCCTCGTTTACGCTTTTCACCATCACTTGATGATGACGATTCACGTTTTCGTGTGCGAACATGGGAAGTTGAGTCACGATGTCGTCTCAAAGCAACAATAGCAACTAATGATGCTTGTGGTGACGTTGTTTTTGTTGTCGATGACGATGGTGTTGTATTTGTAGTGTCTTGATTTTTATGCGCATGGTGATGATCAGGATTGAAGAATAAAATGTTACTTGTCGATTTAGTTTGACTGTCAAGAGAATAATATGGGAAACATATCGACTGAGAGTTTGTGACTGTGGATAAACATATTTGGTAACGATTATCACCGTGATGTGCAGGATCGTATAGACCACCCAGAGCTATCGGAATGTTTTCTAGTGAATAATTTGAGTGGTTTTGGAGAAATTCACGCATTTGTTCGGGTGTACACATTGATACCTAAGTAGAAAATGAATGTTTAGAAAGATAGACAAGGAAAGTATAACGAAATGGTCGGTGTGTATGAATGGTGAAAGACAGTACGAATGAACATGCACGTGGTGATAGTGTGAAATGAACGAATACTACATATGCGGTTTTTTTTTCGATCCATCCAATCAACACTCGTTATTTTCTCACCCTATCACGCAGTTTTCGACTTAGAAAAATTGAGAGTACCTTATAGGCTATTTTGAACCATTTGGGTGCTGAAACGATAAAAATATTTTTTACCATAGCTGGATATCCATGCTAAACGAGACAAACTATCGATTGAGTTTCGCATGAAGTGGAAAGAATAAATTACTTGTAAAAGTTTGAGAATTTTTTTACTGAGATTCATGTCGAATTGTGCTGCTGAACAGTTTTGCATATCGTAAATAAAATTCAAACCAGTTTGCTGAACATCCATACTAAAGAATTACGAGAATGAAATCATTTACTGTCGCACTCATTTCAAACAAACCTTTCAGTAGCTACATCCAATTGACAAACCAATGCTTGTAACGCTACTAATTCTCGATCATGTGGTGAGAGTGTATTTGCTGACGCAGTTGTAGCAAGTTGTGATGCATTGAAATAGACTGTTAATGGTTGATTTGGTAATTGTGGCTAAACGAAAGATGAAATGAACTTGACCGGTGAAACGTAAACGAATTATACCAGTGAAAAGAATTTATTTGATTGTATTTCTCGTATCAGATTTGGATTGCTCATCCAAATACGATCCAGGTTTTCTATTCGACGTGTATTCTAAAAGAAATTTGAATGAAAATGTCAACGATACGACTAAAGAGATTTCTCGACGAACTTCATGAGTTTTATACAGTTCAATAGCTCGATTGACATCAAATTTAACTGGAATTAAAAATTTCATTGCTATCTTCCATTTAGCACGCGCTTCATCGGTTGTCGAAGAGATAGGCCATCCCATACGCTTGAGAAACTCTTCAATTTGCTAGAACAAAAAACGAGTTCGATTTTACAAAGAGAAATTTATCTATTTTTACTAATTTGATAAGATCATAAACATCATATTTGAGGATCACGCATGGGCTACACGGCATTTTACTCTAGTACGAATTTATCTGCTTCTTTTTTCCTGTATTTATAGGCAAAACAAGGTCAGACTCTTTGAAAATAAAAGATATGTATTCATAATCAAACACCACAAGCGTCTGCCGTTTTTCGCGGAAAGACAGACTTTTTCTTTTCTGTTATTATTGTTGCGGTCTTCGATTCTTTGACGCAAAAAAATAAAAGAACACATCATTCTTTATCTCAGAAATATACTCCAAACACACGCAAGGCTTGTTTTTTCTCTCAAACAGAAATAAAAAGATATTCATTCACATTGTACTCCATATCATAGAGATCACAATGACCGTTTCTAAAAAAAACAGAGTAGTGACAAGATTCTCCGTTATTTTTCGAAAAAGTCCTTAGAATAGTACTCTTATGAAAATTCTGTATTGTTATTGTCTGCGAATGCATGAGTAAAAAAAATCGCTCGCAGATAGGTGTGTGCGAGCGTATCGCGTATGTCATTCAATTAGATTACTATGAATAATTTCTCACGGCTAGTTTTTCTGTAATGATTCAAATCGAAAAGTCTTCCTGATGAAGTGTTTCGTCTCTGTACCTGTTCAAAAACGTCTCATATATAAGAAGAGAGAAAAAGAGGCGAGACGGTTGTTATTTCTTCTTAGTTTGACTTCAAGATGTATTTCTTTTGTCGTATACATACGTGAGTTGATTGCGTGAATGACGTCTGATCGGTTATACTGTCGCTCAACGGTCGAACTTTGAGAAGACTGACTGGTGGTTTACTATGTATTTGATTACCACCTGCAGCATGACTTGTTTGGCCTTCGGCTGTGCCACTCGTCATTGATGACGTCTTAAAAGGTTTCATTGCCAACGATCGAAATAAAGATAGAAAATCGTTCGAAACTGAGTGTCGATTGGCAATCGATTGATGATGTGTTGAAGTGTTCGGTACACTTGTTTGTGGCTGGGCGGAATATCTTAAACGGCGAATACGAGCAGCTGAAGTTGATGAATGTGTTTCGAATAGGGTTGCTGTTGAACCTGCAGTTGGCCGACGTTTGACTTCTTTTGATAGCCGAGTTCGTGTTGGTTCATACAGTGAACATTGACTGGTAAAACGATGCTCGTCCAATACATCAGTCGCCATAATAGTTTTTACGCTTCACTATACTTGTCGGTAGTTGTGATTTGCACCTTCTCTTTGCTTTTTTTCAGTCGCTTTCAATATTAGACAATTAGAGAAAAACGATAGAGACAAGGTAGGAAAAGGCAAAGCAAGCGTAGCGTAATAAAAAAAAAAGAACGGTTGTGTAGGAAGACGCACGTTTTTGTACGACGTTTCGTGCTTTCGTTTATAGAAAAACGAAGTTCAAGTATAGGAAATAGACCGATTCGTAATAAGACGACGAAAAACAACGTCGTTTATTTAGACTTCGACTCTCGTTCTCCTATCTTTTCTTCTCTCTTGTCATACAGGTAAAACGGAGAAAAAAAATCTGAATCAATACATGTTCTCTTCATCTTCATTCTTCTCTATTGTATATCACGGAGGTTTCTCTTGTCCCAGCGTCCTTTTTTTTCTTCGACTGTACTGTGTCCGATTGCATGCTTGCGTGCATGCATACACACACACGCGATGAGATGTCTAACTGATCGAGTATTTTTTTTCTTATGTTATTCTAGATTGTCGTCAAAAAAAACACGAGAAATAAAAGTTATTCTTTCGTACTCGATTGAATATTGATCAAATGAAATGAATTTCACTCAATAATCAAAACGAAACAAATTCAATTTAATAACAGTACGCGATGAATAGCTATGACTTTCATTTGCTTTCTCTTCTCGACATTCATGATATATTATTATGATCAAAAACAATAGGCAAATAACTAACATATTTCTCGATTCAGTTCACCCAACTTTCGAGTTTGGTATTAACTCAATATATAAATATACGCTTCGTCAATAACATTCCGAGCATACTTGCTTTTTGTTTCTTACTGCTTCTGCGTACTAAATACGCAAGTAATCAAACTACGGTTTTACTAACCTCGTTGAAATAGTATAGATCGGATGAGATTAGCATCGAGAAATGATGACGATGATGATTGAGGTGTGTGCTTGGAATATTCCGACAATGTAATGAAGGTGTACGTGCCGATGTGTACACTTCCGAGCGAGCGAGAGAGAGAGAGTTAGAAGAAAATGAACGTTTTGTTAATCTGACCGAATAAATAACGACAAGAACGGAAGAAAGAAAAAGAGAAAAAGCGGAAGATTTCTTTAAGTAAAAATGTTCTACGAAGACGTCCATCGACAATCATCTCTACTCAATCTACTTACATCTGTTTGTCCCACTGGGGTGTCCATTATAGTTGAAGTATGTCAATCTACAATAAATGTAAAAAAGAAATTGAAAATTCTACCCGCCATCGAAGATTTTATTTTTCTCCTCATAAAACATTTCTTTTTTTATTTAATAAGAACACGTCGCGTCTATTTATCATTTTACATATTTATGGCGCGTAATAACGATGAGAGCCATCAACGAGTCTATGAGAGATCGATTGTAGATACTGACCTACAACAACAACATGGATCATTGAAAATTTTGAAAAATGAATTCGATGATTTGATGCGAAATCCTCCCGAAGGATTTCTTGTCCAACCAGATCAAAGTGATTTTTTCACATGGAATGTTGGCATTTTCGGAGCGCCAAACACTCTCTTTGCCGGTGGTTATTACAAAGGTACTCTGAAATTTCCTCTCGACTATCCCTATCGACCACCGAAATTCAAATTTCTCTCGAATATATGGCATCCGAATGTTTATCTCGATGGACAAATCTGCATCTCGATTCTTCACGAGCCAGGTGACGATGAACGGAGTGGAGAAAAAGCTTGTGAACGATGGAGTGCAGTGCAGAATGTTCGATCTATCCTATTAAGCATTATATCAATGTTGAACGAACCAAATATCTCGTCACCAGCCAACGTAGATGCCAGTATTGACTATCGAAAGTATCAGGAGGATCCAACAAATTCTTCTACGTATAAAGACAAACTCGAGTAAAGGATGAAAATAGAAGTGGATCTCATCGAATGTTCGAACGAATCGTTTTAGTCGTTTGATTGAAACGAGTCGTGCTATGGCGAACGCTGAAGGAATCGAAATTCCTCAGACAATAGAAGAATATACAAAACGATTTAGTAGAAGATTACCATTAACTACAAATGATTGTATAGAAGATAATGATTTAAATGAAGATGATGACGAACAATCCGAAGTCTCTTCATGTAAGTCACAGATAAAACAGGATAATAACACTAATAATAATAATATTACTGATCGAAAGAGGATTTTGACATGAAAATGTATTTTTATATTAGCACAAAACAAAAACACAGTTATTTTGATTTGAAACAACTCTATTTTATGCATTGACATAAAATAAAATAGAACAAGATAGATTGATTAGTCGGGAACGATAAGTGAAGCAAGAGAACAAGGAAATGAATAAGTAAAGGATTTCTATTGAATTGATTTCGTCAAATAGGAGAAAATGATGGAGCGGTCATATGGAAAATCTACTCAAGAAAAAAAAAAGACTGTTCTGAAAAATTAAAATGGCTCATCTAGAAAATAATGTTGCTCGATTTCACAACAATTTACATGTAAATCTCGACGAGATAGACACACTGAAAAGTTTTTTTTTTGTACGATATAGCTTATCTACAAACAGGTCAACAAGACTTCAAGGTCATGTAGCACGTCGGATAGGTGTTTGTAAGAGAAGTTCACTATCAGCAGAGACAATTGGAATATTGCCCGCTTTATGATATGTAATCAAATGTTGAATCGAATCGAATTCATAATCTTTGGTTCGAATCTAAATCGAAACATAGTTGATTTCAATGTTTTCAAGGTTTTCAAACTTACGACTCCTTCGGGATCGACAAGAAGGAGATGTTTGAATTGATCGCGATAACGGCCTGATAAAATAAACTGGCCAGATGATTTTGCACTTTCACGTACAAGAAAGTCTCCACTACGGATTAATAAACGTTCCGCCTAAATCAAATACATGATTCGAGATGTCATCATCGGAATATCCTTACTTCTTCGCGACTAATCTTCCCATGAAACCAACTTTCTTTGTGAACATCAGAACTATTCATCGTGTTCCATTTATCTAAAATAGACAAGCCATAGAAAAAAAATAACTATCATTATTTGCCTTTTCAAACGAAGCCCTTGAAATTGTTAATCGTCTGCTTATATAATATTAAAAAACATAACAGATATTTATTCAATGCTAGCTCTTTCATCTATACGACATCATCTGTCTGCCGACATAGAAATGCACATGTGTCACTGAAACATATAAATGCGAAGCCATACTAACGTATGAAGAAGAAAATAATATATGATATATTCATTTCCTTCTTTCTTCTCGATATGTCATTGTTAAAAATTCAATCTCGACTGGCAAAATACTTATCTAGTGATGAGCATGAACTATTAGAGTCAACATAAGGAAAAACCAATAACTGCACAAGTATTTATCGGTGTTGGTTAACATCTCTGTAAAAAACTCGAACATACTTTTTAGTGGTGGTGGTGGTGATGCTGCTGCTGCTGCTGCTTGATTGTTGGTAATAGCTGACATCGATTGCGCTGGATTACTGTCTGATTTCTTTAACAGATAAGACATGATAATGTTATATTTAACGTCACGAAAGGAGAATTCACCTGTTGGAATTGTTGATCACGCTCGGATGATTTCAATGAACTAAATACAGAGAAAAACTAAGACGAAATTCAATGAAAAAGCAATGTTTTACTCTTGTCGTTCGTTCACTTGTTGTTGTTGCTGTTGTGACTGGATATATTCATTGTATCGCAATTCGAAAGCTTGTCCAATTGTTGTAATAACATCTAATGATTCGTTTTCTTTGCATAAAAGTACGTGACATGCGCGTTTGTTCATATTGTCTTTTGCAACATAAGCTATATAATCTTTTGTATCCTTCAAAATCAATTACATTCAATTAAACAATAGAGCAAAACAAGTTGTTCTTCTTACATGTTCACCTGCACTTGCGAACGAAATACCTTCCATCCGATGTGAATAGAGAACTTGAGAATCATTTGTTCGTTTGAGAACAAGTGCTTCAGTGCTAATGGTTAATTGAATAGGTATGTGACTATATGTCAAATTAGCTTGGGCAGCAATCATTGCTTGGCTCGCTGACGATGCTTCGGGCTAAAAGTGAACAATAGTCGAAAATTCAAAAGTTAATCACTCAGAAAATATTATTATTTACTTTGTGCCGTTCACGTAGATGTACGCCGACAGCTGAGCATACTAGGCGAATCGAATCTCGAGCAACTCGTGTTCGATTATCGAAATCAAGTGTTTTCATTGAACAAAGTACTTCAACCGAGCCTAGGTACTTCAAAAAGGCAAAATGACAGTTTAATTAGCAGTAAACGATAAGAAATCTGATTACATTAACATTATAAACAACGCCAAGACCAGAGATAAGGTCAGTATCTGAATGTAACCAGCGTGGATCTTCGTCAGGATTTGTCATTTCGAATGAATTTAAAACCATGAACAATCGTCGAATCAAATAAACAACAATCTATGAAGTCAACAAGTGAAGTTAATCTGTAGAGCGAGAGTGATTGACAGTGTAATCTACATCGCGTCTTTTTTTCTTCGTTCGTTCGTTTATTAAAGAGAAACAGAAAGGATGGATGGCTAATGTAATTTCGAGTCATAAAAATCATTCAATAGATGTCAGACAATGATAGATATTCTTCAACCTCGAATGGCTCGTTTTTAACCCTATGAAAAAGCAATTGAAGAAAAACAAAGAAAGATTTCATGAATATTTGGCATACATCTGATCGGAAACATGGCAACTGAGCGTCTTAGTTATGTACCAGACGGTAGAGGAGGGTAAGATTTGCTTTTTACGTATTCAGAGAGTATGAAAAGGAGCTACGCCTGGTCCATCTTTAATGAAGCCTAGAGGGAGTAAAAATAGAACTATGTCTGTGAAAGAATTCTCTTTTACTAATGAATATTCATATCAATTAGGTTCGTTCGATATTCATATGCACGACGAGCACCATCATCCAATCGATTGGTTGAGCTCGGAAGATTACTCTACAACTTAATTCGAGGAATTCTACAATTCTTCAATCTTTTACATTATTCTCTAACAACATTTAACAATATGGTGCAATCATTACCTTTTTGTATACGATATTTTGTTCAAATTGTGTTAGCATTCTGTTTTCCATTTTATGCGGCTTATCAAGCTTTTGTATTAATGATTAATCGAATTTATCGCGTCACGTATTCAGTTTCTCGCATTTTCACATGGATTACACGTTTATTTACATTTGTTATTACATTACCGCTACGTATTTTTACATTTCTACGTATTCTGGCAGATGATCTCTTAAAGAATTTACTGAAACTAGCTATTGTGATTGCTTTCATTGTTGGAATTTTGGCAGTTGTCTTAGATGAGCGGCAATTAAATCTGATCAAAGCCTACGCTCGCAATGCAACAAACATGTTATTGAAATCAAGTTCAACAGTTTAATGTATTGAAGCTCATTCCTTTTTCTCGGTTTGTTTACACGAAATAAAGCTAATATATATGTATATAGATGAGCAGATACTCAAAAAAACGAACAGATAAATAAATAAATAAATAAATGTGTATGTATAAATGCCAATGAGATCCGCTTTCTTTTCAATCGTATCAGAAATGAAAGGTTTCAGTCAATGAAAAATCATTTCCAAGGCAGTTTAAAAGGTAATTTTTCGGTGATATTATTGAATGCATCTGTTGCCATTTTAATTGGGTCGAAACCTAAAAAACAATGAGGAAATGTTTGAATACCTGATTGAAAGATTAACAATGACTTACTATCATCATCATCTGGTAATGGTATCGGTCCCTTCTTATCAGCTGTTAAACGTCCTTCGCATGGTGCAGGAACTGGTGGAAGTGGTTCTTCCTTCTTCTTGATGTTATACTAAACAAGTGACCAGATGAGATTTTCGATAGCATTTCGTATATGAAAAACAACCGATGATATGAGGAAACATGCAAACAAACTCGATCGTACTATCAATTGTCAGATATTCCTTACCAATCTACAAGAAACTTAGGGTCAAGCTAGCGTGTATGTTGCATTGTTTCGTGATGAATTTAGATAATGAGTTAATTATTTCTAATGTACAATCATATCATACTGATCTATTGGGAATGATAGATGTAAACAATGGGAGAGGGAATATAATTTACTTTTTCTCGGATGTTTTGTCGAACTTCTTCACGTTGTCGTTCCATTTTTGCATACTTTGCATTGCGTTTTTCATCTGCTTCCCGTCGAGCTTCAGCCACCTAAATCAATCAATCAAACGATCATTTCAATTCATTTTTCATACAAAAGTTCTCTCCTCTAGACTCGATAAAATAACTTGATCATACTCGACTTACCGTCGAAGTATCGAACATACTCTTCCGACGAACATTCGTCGGTGTTGACGGTGGCGATGATACTATCGATTTATGAAACGGGGGCGCGAGCGAAAAACGTCGAGTTGGAGATGGCGATGTTGCTGAGAGGAATAACGAACTAATATTGAATTTATCCATGAAATTGCTTTGTTATCGAGAAAGATGAAATCTCTTCAACACGTGAACGAACGTAATCGAAGAGTAGTGATAAAATAATATGAGAAATGATGTGAAATATTCATTAGATTTTCAAGAAGAGAAAGAAAAAGGATCTACGGAAAACACTACTCGTTTTCAATATTCACTTGAAAAGATCGAGAGAGAGTGAAAGAGGAATGAGTAGAATATAGAAAAGAATTGAGGAGGCGGACGAACCTATCGAGTCAAAATAGACAAATATCATGCCAACGAGAAAGTTAAAATCTTCCATCTGGTAATGAAATCAAAAGAAATCTGTTGATAAAATATGTGCTCAGTAGATATGAACAAACGGTAGCACGAGCTGATAAGAACTACACGAGCATTCAAATAAGCAAAGCAGGAGTTCGAATCGCATGCTTCGATGCGAAAAACAATGAACTCAAAATAGAAATTCTTAATTGATCTTCTCTATCTAAAAGTATTTCCTAAACGCAATAAAAGAAGAAATGTTAATTATAAAAGCGAGTCGTTGACAATAAAAAGAAAAGGCAAAAGATAGCAGAGCAGTTCGTTGATATTAATTTACCTCTGGATCTTCTTCATCGTCAGCACCACCGCCACCACCCTCTTTCTTGTCCCCATCACTGCCGGCCAATTCTATTATAAGAAGAAAAAAAAACAAGAGCAAGATATGAGTGAAGAATGCAAATCAAACATTCATCTAATTTTCAACTTACTTTTATCAGCGATCCTACTGCTCATCTTCAATCCTGCCAAGTGGATAATAAACTCGTGAACGTTTTTCTTCTCTCTTTTCTCATAACATTCCCTATGTTTTTCCTCCGTTTTCTCTCTCTCTCTCGCTCTCTCTCTATTCTCTTATCTCGATTTGTTTTAAAGTCTCAATGAACTAACTGATTCATTCAGATCTGAACATCATCAAATCAGCTCACTCTTCGCTTGCACACACAAACATCTTATCTTCAATCGAATATGATGGTAACGATTCGAATAAATCCTATTGATGGATTACAACTATCACGCATACGCAAACAGTTAGAAAAACAAAATATATGCTCGAGATCGTTTGTCGCCTTGTTTATTTCCTGTCTTGCAGTTCTCCTCTTGATGCTGAGTATGTTTCAAAGGCAAATAGAGGCAGAAGAAGGCTATGTGTTGGGAAAGCGAAAGAGAAAACATAATAAAAAACAGATTTATTTTATTCAAGCAGTAAATCAATCTCAGATTTTTCTCTCTTTTTTTCTCCGAATAGGACACGTTGTCAACAATAACCATCAACATGGGATAACAAAGGAAAACAACATACCTTTGACTTTATCTAGCTGAGAGCCCATCATTTGTTTCATAATGAATGACGCCATGTTTATTTATTTATTCAATTCAGTAAATGTAACAAAACACCAATTGATATCTGAAATTGACACCATATAAACGTTCGAATAATACAAAAACATAAATGATGTGATAATTTAAAAGAGTACTCATATATATGTATGCTCATTCTCAGCGTCAATCTCGTCTTTTTTCCCCATTACTATTCTTTTCTTTTCTTAGTCTGAATTTCTCGCTATTCACACTTCTATTTCATCAATATATTTCGAAAAGAGAGATCTTATCCTTATTCATGTCAGCACATTCTCCGAACTGGAACATCAGTTTAACTCTAGTTCTTCTTTTTGATGATCAGAATGAGAAAAGGAAGCAACCATAGGAAAAACAGAAGGCAGAGCAACATACATGAATGCGATCATTATTTGTATGTTAGCAAGAAGAAAACATTTCTCTCTTCGTCGCATTCTAAGTGTTAGTGGCAGGAGATCAATCAAAATTAGGCATGAATTGGAAACTGTTAGTCGACTTGATAGAAGAATTCTTGTAGGAGAAAACAAGAAATAGTTGTTTAGAATCCTTTTCTTGGATTCAAACGGTTGTGAGACAAGGAGAAAAAAAAAACAACTCACAATTTTCTGACATATAAATATTAAAATCTAAGAAAACAAATTAACACGTTTTTCAGCAAAAACAGAAAAGGTAATCAAAACAAGAACGTACACAGTGTGTTAACAAAACTGAAACAGCCATCGTAGCTAGATCTGTTTGCAGATATTTATTAAGGTTGTCATAATTCATGTAAGAGTATCGTTTAATATTTCACGAAGATGTATTTCGTTGATGAAATACCATTGTTGCTTTATGAAAACAATCTATTGTTGCACTCACGAAACATTCTTGTGAAAAGAAAGACACTCATCAGAATACCGGCGAGGTCCCGATCGATGCGCTCGGAAAAGAGAAAAAAAACGTAGTGTGAAAGATATTTGATAGTGAGCGATTTGCTTTGCTGCGCCTCGATTCTCTTCCTACTTCTTTTTTCCTGCCTGACACAAACATACTTCTGCAACCTACATTGTCGAGCATGATGTTACGACTATTTGATTCTCATAGACTTTTTTCTCGCTGCTTTTTTGCTCTTGTGCTCATATCTATCTGTCATGTTGGGTGACATGACCATCGAATCTACTTCTACACATCGAAAAGGAAAGAAATAGTGAAAAGCAACATCACACTAAGAACAAGTGATGACGTTGCATGCGAAGAGAAAATATTGTTGATGTATTCACAATAACTGTTCGATGGATTGGAAAAGGAGAAGAAAAGGGAAGAGAGAAAAAAAAGCTTGATTGCTTTCGATATTATTCTTGTGTAGTTTGGTGTTTTAGATTCATAGGTCGGATCAATAAATAATAAGGTTACGTTTCATAGGAAAGAAATATTCTTCTTATTTACTATTGCCAGCGTTGACTGACGCACTTTCGAGAGAAACATGGATGCAGAAGTTTATAAAAACATGCTTAAATGAACATGTCGATCTCAATTTTACAATCATCAGTAATAAAATTTCGGGAACTTGTTGTCCTATCGTTGACATATGATCTTTTTTTCCATAGGAAAGTCATTGATGAATATGATTCAATCAAATAATTCGATAGGAAGAGATTGATCAGTTCGTAATGCCTTTGATGGTCGAGATAGGAATTGAATTGACGTGGAAGTAATCTTTAGCAGAAGAAAAAATTCAACGAGAATTAATAAAATAGAAAACTGCCGCATGTCACTGATGCCTAGCATACAGCCATAAATAGCATTATAGGAAGTAAAAGAAAAACATAATTTAATAATAACAAGAAATCGAATAAATTAGGTTCTTCTATCTTTTTTTATAAACCAATCATTTTTTCGAAAAGAAGTAGGTGGTTAACACAATCACGTGAGTGCAGAGTTAAATGGGTAACAGATGGTTCTATATGTTGCCTCATGATCGTTTTTCGATGTGTTCGTATGGGAAGAAGAAGAATCATTCACGAGTCAACATTGTAGAGCAATGCAGTCAGCAGATGGTTTCGGGTCGGGTATGTGAAATTTCCTTCGAATTGTCAATCAGTTTTATCTACTTGTCAAAAGATAAGAAAAACGTTTTGATCTTCTAAAAAGCCGTGTTGTAAGTGTATTTCGTCCGTTACGGTTCTCACAAAAGAGAGGAGAGGAGAGGAGAGCAGAGCAGAACAAACAGCTAAAGAATCCAAATCACTGTGATAAATCATTCTGTTAGAAATATGATAATCAGCTATTAGTTCAGCTCCATTCGATAACATGATCATCTCTGATTGGTATATAATAAGTAAACATAGTTAGTTGCTCGTCAGTCATTTCTTTTCGGAACTGCAAACACTAACGCAGCGCAATTCAGTAATGTCATGTAAATACTTGATTGTCTCTTTTCTAAATGATAATTGTGTCGAATTATTCTCAATTCTCTAGATGATCCAAGTCGTTCAACGAAATCATTGACATTTTCGCCACAGGATAATAATGGCGATACTGATCAAAATACGAACGAGAATCGAAAACATAGTGTATTGGACGAAAAAGCATTACGAGTAGATGATACACTGTTCATACGCGATCAACGTGTGTTGAAAATCAGTCAAAGTTATCAAAGTATACTGGATAGTATTGGTGAAGATCCATTAAGACAAGGTAAAGCTTTTTTTTTGTTCACAATTTCCTTGAATAAATCTGACTTTGTCTTCGATAGGACTGCTCAAAACGCCAAATCGTGCTGCAGAAGTGTGTTCATCATATTCAAAAAAAGAGACCATTAACTTCTTTTATTTTGTGTTAGGCATTGGTGTTTTTTACCAAAGGTTATGAACAATCCATCCGCGATGTGGTTAGTGATGCTATCTTTGATGAAGATTGCGAAAATATGGTTGTGGTCAAAGAAATCGATATGTATTCACTATGTGAACATCATATGTACGAACGGTTGCCTTTGCTGAAAGATAACTGTTGATATTTTGGATTATTTAGGGTGCCATTCTTCGGAAAAGTATCTGTCGGGTATTTACCTAATAAACGAGTATTAGGTTTAAGTAAAATAGCAAGGTATTTATTTATTGATATGTTCGGTTGTATGATTTAAACATTGGGATCCTTTGTTCGGTTTTAGAATCGTCGAAGTCTTCAGTCGCCGTTTACAAGGTTTGTCATACAAAAGTACAGGTTTAGTCTTTGATTAAATCATATTTGCTTTCCAGTGCAAGAACGTTTAACGCGACAAATTGCGGAAGCGATTGCCGAAGCTATTAAACCTAGAGGTGTAGCTGTTATTGTCGAATGTCTGTAAGTATTTACACGGAACTGAAATAATCAATCTTCTGTTGTTTGTTTAGTCATATGTGTATGATAATGCGTGGTGCTCAAAAGGTCAACTCTCGCACGACGACATCGTCGATGCTCGGTGTATTTCGTGAAGATCCGAAGTCGCGTGAAGAATTCTTGGCTCTTGCCCGAATCACTCCATTCTAATAACGATCGAATAAACGTCGTGGCTTTTTTTTCTTTTTTTTTATGTTGACAATACTACCTATAAACAAATAAATCAATATCACCGACATAGACTTTATTTTCGAAGGAGAAAAGAAATCGAATTCTACAAGTTGTCCGTCTCTTTTCAAGGAGTGTCCGGTAACGAAGAAGATCGATAATCTAATGAGGTGACGGACATCAAACGCAATGGATGATAACCGCGATTGAACACAACCGATTTCGATCGAAATTGCGAGAAGCTGTGTGATTTTCGCACTGGCTTTGGCCTTCCGAGTTCGATGGTTGTCGTTCGTGTTGGACTCGTCCATTGAAATGTTGATAACGATGAGTACATGAATGGATTAAAACAAGAATTAAATGGCTGCAGAAACAGAACTGTCAATTTTATGTCATTTAAACGAAGACCCGAGACATTCGAAACTTTTGAGTAGGTAAATAATGCGAACAGGGTATAGATAATCAAAGGCATATGGCTAATACAAACAGCAAAAACCAAGGAAAGAATTTTGACTGTTGCACGTGCATCATTCAATGTTCGAACGTGAGATTTACTAAAATTGAAGCAAATCAGACCATTACATATGATGATAATGCCGAGAAGAACCAGATTGACGAAAATAATTACAGACAAGTATAATCGATCGGAAAGATATTCCATGCGAAATGGTATACATAATGAATTCGCATGGAAATTATTAACATTCAACAATGGTAACGATGCCGTAATGAAACTGACAAACCAGCCAATGGAAATGACAGTCAAGGTAAACTTTAATCGCCAAGGTGTTTGCCGTGTGAATGAAAATAAAATTGTATGGAACCGTTCGAAAGTCAAAAGTGTCAGTGCGTAAATTGATGATTGAATTCCGAATGTATAAGTAAATCCTGCGAATACACAGACGTATGATTTAGTCCATATTTGTGTGTATAAATAGAAGTCTTCTTTGAAATGGATATCCACGATAGCAATTATAATAAGATAAATCGAAAAAATGAAGTCAGCAAGAACTAGATTTGAACTGAAGAGAGTCGAAATTGACCAACGGTTGCAAGATGATGCGAGAAATGGAAATATTCGAATGATTAATGCAATCAGATTTGAACTGAATGAAACACAAACGATGATAAGAAAGATAAAACGAGTGAACTTTGAGGAGAAGAACGATTCACAAGGTGTCATGGGATCAGGTAGAGGTGAACAAACTGAACTCGATGGGGATAGAATTGGTAAATAATTCTTATTGTCACGAATGCGTTTGTCGTTCGATGATCTCGGTACGTTTTTAAATGCACAGCAGAAATGTGCGTAGGGAAAGCGAATTCTGGTTAAATGTGGCAGATAGTTGTACCATTGTTTATCCATTTGTAAGAAACGATTCCCTTCGAAATCTAGAATTTCTAAAGATATTAATGACTGATTCAATTGAACGAAATGCAATGCATTGTTCGATAAGTAAAGCTTGGTTAAATGCGGAGTTTGATTGAAATTTCTGGAGGAAATCTGTTCGATTTGATTGAAAGATAAGTCCAGGACAACTAACGATGGAAATTGATTTAAATTCAATCCATTTTCATTGGATATTTCCGTAAAATTATTATTATTCAAATATAAATACTGTAAAAATACAGAGCTAAGAACATGGTTCGTGAACCGTTGTAAATTCGAATTTATTATCCGTAAGATTTTCAGGTGAAAGCAAAGGTTCAGATCATGTTCGAGAATTCGTTCAATATTAGAATTATCGATTTCGATAAACGATAAATTTTTATTCAATGTGCACAGCCACGGTGGAAATACTGATAATCTTGTATGTTCAATCAGTAAACTCGACAATGTGAACGTGGAATTAAATGTTGCGTCGAATGCTTCATACGGATACCCATCGATAATCAATTTATTGATGGTCTCAGCGAGAGAACCCGAATAATAGCTATTAGTCAAGTGAATTGTTTGAATCGATGATGATGTATTGAAATTAAGCAATGAAATGTTATATACAGAGAAATCCAATGGTGTGCAAAGAAGTTCCGTATCATGATTGATACAGGATGATTCGACTTGTAAGTGTAGAAGTGATGATAGAAGACAAAAAAGGTTAAATAGTAGTTTTGTCGAGGACATTTTGTGAAAAAAATCGATGCGTGTGTTTGTCGTTTGAATGTCTTGTCAATAAATGTGACATGAGGAAAAACCCGTACGCGACCCGCTCCGAGTCGATCTGTTTTCAATCATCTCGTTGATCAAGAACAGACGTCAAGGTGATGGTGATTAAAAAGCGTTTTCGAATGCGTAATAAGAACTTTTTTTGTTGTTGTTGTATTTCACATATTTTCACTACAGGTACAAGATTATGAAAAAAAGCAAAATGCGCAGAAAAACGAGAGGAAAAATAATCGAAAGAGAAAAAGAGAAATGTTGCCGAGAATCTTTAGTTATATTTAATTGCTCATTCTCGGTTCAGCTTTAATATCGGCAACCATGAATCGCTGATGATGCATTTGCAATAAAGCTTGGTGCGGAAGATGTGAATGTTGTTGGAGATGTTGATGCTCACGATTCGTTTCATCTGGATCAGAGTCGACTATTCTCATGCGATGTTCGTCATTTAGATTACCATTGATACCAATCGAGTGTGTTTTCACCTATGAAGATAGAAAGATCAGACAATGGTTTATCATATCGATTGATTTGTACATACATGTTTATTCAGATGATCACTACGCATAAAACGTTTTCCACAAACTTGACATGCAAATCGTTTTTCACCTAGAACGAATCGAATCAATTATTCATATCGTAGTCACAGAGGGCGTGTGCTAAGATTATCTACTAGATTATATAAAAACAAAAGGAAAAACTAATCTTGTTTTCATCTGAATTGATTGATTGATGTTTCTTGTTTAGAATATTCAACCCTATGATCATCTTTCTCTCTTTCTTCTCTTTGTATCCATGGATCACGCATGAGTGATTCATTCCATATAAATAATAGACTTGGCCGAGAGGTATTCGTTCGGAGTTAATTATCGCGTCGATGTGTTCTATTTCTCTCACGATTAGCCTTGGCAATAGTGGTCATTTCAAGGTGGGCGGACAAGATAAATCGAGTGGTAGTTTAGTTTTTTTAATGGACTGAAGATGAGCAAATGATCGGGTGTCAGAGCTAATGAATCAACATTTCATACCTGTATGAGTTCGTAAATGTCGTTGAAGTTCATCACTACGAGTGAATCGTTTGCCACAAAATAGCCAATTACAAACAAATGGCCGCTCTCCTTAATTAAGAAGGAAATACAACAAATTTAGAGATATTCACAAGTTATTCTCTTATCGAAATGCGTGCTAGAAGTCAATTGACATTTTTTCCTTCGGCTTTCTCTCTCTCTCTCTTTCGAGGATGATGAAATTTGATTCACGAATACACGCAACAAGAGCAAGTCGATAACAACTCTTATAATTACAGTTTGAGTGTGAAAACGGAAACATTGCTTCTTATTTACCTGTGTGCCAACGCAGATGAGCTTTGAGATGTGACGTTTTGTTGTATTCTTTGCCACAACCAGGTATATGACAACTGTGAATGTTTCGTTTTCTTATATTAGCTCCAGCGACAAAACCTAGGCGATCAGCTTCGCGACAGTTAGGACAATCACATTGAGCGCGACTGGCTTTGGGCTGTTTACCATTTCTTGTTAGGTTATTGGAAATGGTATTTTTGGGTGAACTGTTCGGATGATTTGTTGTCGTCGGTGACGAAGTAGTGGCTTGTGCAGAAGGTGGTGATGGAGTATGCGAAGGAAACGATGAGTTTGATTGAGGTGCTTGTGAGGAGAGAACTGGTGGTGGCAATGTTGGCGGAACTACTGGCGGATAAAGTAAACGAAATTCATGACGATAAGAATCTGCGTAATGATGACCAACAGAAAGGAAGTCATTGTAGTGTGCTGGTTGAATATGATGATGTCCATGAGGTGCATATTGAACATTGGATGTTGTGGGAAATAGTGGCGGTGGAGGTGTTACTTGTTGTTCATTGTGAAGAATGGGCGGTGTTGGTGTTGTTGAAAACCATGAATGATGATGATGATGAATATCGAGCCAAGTTGCTTGAGACGACGGTGGACCTGGTGGCGATGGTATTGTTGTATTCTCTTTTAAATGACCATTATGATTCAATAATGAATGCTCATAATGACCAATACGTGCTAACGATGAAGCGATTTCAGAATTAGGATGAGAATGATGATTGATATTATTCATTGGATTCGTCTGATAAATTGGTGGACTAGTTGTCATGGGCTTCTTCCAAGCATAGAAACTTGTTTTTGGCGGTGAAGATGGGGGACTATCCGGTCGACTGGATGTTGTTGACGATAGAGGTGGCGAATGATTATTACTCGTTGTATTGGACGATGGAATTTTATTACATTGTGCCGCTAACATAGCCAATGGGTTGACAGCAGTCATGTTCATGTCCTGTACGGTACAAGAGAAAAAAAAAGAAATCCATATTGAGTGTTACATGATCTTTCATACATTCATTCATCTTCTTTTGTTCAAAAACAAAGCATAAGCAATAGTAATTGAGTAGTGCGCGCTTGATTGAGACTATAGAATTCAGCTCAACGGGGTGTCTACGTTTTAGTTATATTCAGACTCGTTTTTTCTTCTATTCAAGCAGAATAAAAACGAAATTGGCGAAAATGTTCGTGTCTTTTTCCCTCCATATCGCTCTCTCTCTCCCTCATCTACGTACCGAAGTATTATTACTTGTTGTCATCAATGTTGCCATGAAATAAGATCTGCGAAGTTTATCATAGACAAGTAAACGAGAAGAAGAAGTTAATTACAGAATTGTCTCTAGAAAAAAAAAGAAATGAAAGAAATTACACGTTTTTT